TCCCCCCCCCCCCCATTTTATTTGATTTCCTTCCTCAAATTTGATAACTAAAAATACATCATTTTTTAATATTTAAATTGCAGTGCATAATAATCCCTAAAAGTATGTTACGCTTAAAATGGAGCCGCAGGCAATTTTTTTAAAAACTTTTGGTATGGTGTCAATGGCAAAAATAAGTCGGGATTGCTTCTTGTCAGTCCAGGATTATATTGTTTCTTGGAATTCATTATCCACAATTTTTCTTCGGGGTAGAATTTGTTAAATACTTTAGTATTTTGACTATTTGGAAAATTATTGAGTATTGAGTTTTCTATTCTTTTATCATTTTTGTTATGAAAAATTGTTAACGCTTTTTTTATGCTGCATTATAACCATTGGGAAAAATTATTCATGAAAAACTCTCTGATTTTCCATAAATTTATGTGGATATGTACAGGTCAGGAGCTCCATGCCCTTCCCTTCCCTTTATTCCCCTTTTCTTCACTTGTTTACTTGCCAACCTTCCATCAATCTCTACCTTCCCCTTTACTTCGTTTCCCTTCCCTAACTACCCTGCCTTCCCCTTCTACTTCCCTTCCATGTCCCTTCCGTAGTTCCCTATATTCCTCTGTCCCTCTCAATCTTCCTCTTTCCCTCTCAACCTTCCTCTTTCCATCTCAACCTTCCACTTTCCCTATCAACCTTCCTTCTTCCATCTCAACCTTCCCCTTTCCCTCCAAACCTTACCCTTCCCTGCTTTTCCTCTTCCCTACCTATATCTTTCCCTTCCTATCTCCTTCCCTACTTATCTCCTTCCCTACATATCTCCTTCCCTGAGGGGCGTATTCAGGAATTTTTCCAGGGGGGGCTTAAATTTTTTATCTTTCCAGGGGGGGGGGCTCAGCACCCGTTGGGGCCTGAAATCACTGGTCCAGGGGGGGGCTTAGCCCCCATAGCCTCCCCTGAATACGGTCCTGCCTTCCCTTTCTTCCCCCTCTACCCTACCTTTTCCCATTCCCCATCCTTCCCTTTCTTCCGGTGTTACCCTTTTCCTTTCATTTTCCCCCTCCCTTCACTCTCCCTTTTTACCCCCTTTATCTTTCCTCTTTTCCTTCACATTCCCTATTTTCCTTCACCTTCCCTATTTTCTTCCCTTCCCCTCCTCTGGGTCTTTTATACACCTCTGCAATTCATACATTTCTTCAACTGCGGCAATGCCCTTAAATTTGTGTAAATTTTTATTCATTACATATTAAACACGGTTCTAAATGGAGTTTATAAAGATACGGGTTATTGACCAACATTTTGTAACAAAAATGATTTGAATAATGAAAAGGGGAAGGTTAATGAAAGTTGTTGATCATCATGTTAGCATGTGTAATTGTTGACCAAGTGTAGTGGGAATAATTGTATTGGATGACAATTTTTTACTTGTTGACCAAATGTAGTGGGATTAAATGTATTGGTAGACATTCTTTCTTGTTTGATCAAATGGAGTGGGATTAAATGTATTGGTAGACATTTTTTACTTGTTGACCAAATGTAGTGGGATTAAATGTATTCGTAGACATTTTTTACTTGTTGACCAAATGTAGTTGAATGAAATACATTGGCAGACATTTTGTACTAGTTGATCAAATGTAAGGTTGATCAGATGAAAATTGGCTAATGGCAAATCAACATAATGGTTCCACTCTCATTAATCTTATCAATCCTAAAATATCTCGCATCGCAGTATTCATGCTTATTTAAATGTCGATGGACGAACATTCATCTCTTGAAATGTAAATAATTTACACTAGAAGAAGCTTTTAATGTTTAGGGCTCACCATTGGAGCTGTTTCTTCCCTTCTACTCTTTAAAAGGAAGATGTGGCCTATCACTTTTGGCATTGGTAAGTAACTAGACATAAAGCCAGGTTCATGTTTGTACGAATTTTGTATCAGTTTTGTGCATTAAAAAATGATCCTTATCCCAATTATGTCTGACAAAATATAGTTTTCTAACGTTTAATTAGTTTCTTTTCTTCTTTTCCCGTTTCTTTGTAGATTAAAAGTACAAATTGTATTCTTACCCTGTGATAAAAAATACTGCACCAACATTAAAAAATTTTAAATCTAGATATGATAATTACGTAAAAAATTCTAATCTGTTTTAGTTTTTGCTTAATGAAAGTGTATAATTCTTTTTTTCATCAAATAATACTGAGAAAAAAGAGCTTAAAAGATTATAAAAAAGAAAAGAAAGGCAATCAACCAAAAATTTCGAAAAAAATATATCCATGTTATTGTGACATATATATATATATATATGTGTGTGTATATATGTATCTCTATGAATATCGTGAGATTGATCAAAAATTCTCTTATATGCTCCAACGGGAGTCCTGAGAATTATCAGAACATAAAGTTATTAACATAATCAATTAATGTTTTCTAAAAATAATTTGTTAAATATATGAGGGGTAATGGATTCGGTAGATCCTTTGGACCAATTAAAATTTACTTACTATAGTTAAACATATGAGGGGTAATGGATTCGGTAGATTTACTTACTATGGTTAAAAATGTTGATAAAATTTAATTGACGAAATCTTATCAAAAAAAGATGATTTATTGAGCGTTCCATATAAGTGCACAGTCTTTTTTTTTCTCTCTTGTCAGAAACAGTCTCTTTTGATTATATCCTTGTTTATTATTCTAGGCTATCTTCGATTTTAACTTATAATAATTATTTTAACTGTGGCATCTTAAATTATCAAACAATGATTTTTTTCATGGATTAAAAACATTTTAAGGCAAATTTTTAAATCTGACTTTGCCATGGGGCTAAGTGAATTGACGCACAAAAATTGGGGCCAGATCGGTTGAGCCGTTTTGGATACAACCGTACTGACAAGCAAAGTATATATTATATATAGATAGAGTTCTTGGTCCTAAACAAAGCTCATGGGTTAAGGTTTTAACTCTAAAGACGTGGTTATTAGCAAAGAGTTATAATGTTAAGATAGCTATTTCAGAGGTGTACGCATTTGTAGTACTGCAGTGTACTGTCTCTGTGTTCTAAAGTAAACACAAGACGGCTGTCACAGCCTGACATGGGATCCATCTTTCACATAAAAAACCAATAAAATATTCTGGTTATCTAGGACTATCATGTGAATTATCAAAATTTTCAAAATTAGATGCTTTTATCCTCCTCGATTACAATAAGAACACTGATGCATATTTTCTTGTTTACAAACACCGCTCATATAGAACTGGTTTCAAAACATACGCAAGAGCTATTAACTTTCCTTGCCTCATTACCTTGGTTATGAGTAACCGCTGTATTCAGAAAAGCATAAAAACTATACAAATCAAGTAGTTACCTTTTTATCTTCTCGATTTATTAAAGTCGTCTACCGACTATCTATCTTATGCAAATTTTCACAAAATTAATTGTGTTTTTAAAATGACGAATTTCAAGTTCATCAGATTTTCTCCAGGTTTAGATTTAATGTGGGACAAAAGTTTTAAATTTTATCCTATCCCATCCCCCCGACCCCCCCCCCCGTTAAAATAGAAATACTGAATAGTTTTGCAAAATCAAGTATAACTTGTTACCGTGACTTAATACCTTTAGTCATTGAGACATTAAATCATTTCCAATATTTGTTTACTTAAAAATTTTACTGATAAATATTTATTGCATAGGTTTAATATTTACAGGGTGCAATAAATATATTTATACTAAAAATATTGCTGATTATTTTTGAAAAATATCTAGATTCTTATTTATATAAAATAATTTTTTTGGGACATTTATCTAGTTAACCTGATTTGTATAATGAGGTTAAGTGTGAACATAGAATGCATGGATATATCATAGTCAAGGTTTGATGTAATTTTATGGCTGGGGTGTCATTGAGTACGTTAGACATTGGACCCTGGACTTATAAATTTATCTTTGGTTTTCGTAAAGTTAATAGTTGTCAAAGTAGAATAGAAAAATATTGAAAGTCTTTAAAACATGGTAAAATTTAGCCTCCTTCTTTGTATCATAAAAGTTGTCGGAGATACTAAACCTTAGTTATATTTATATTTAATACTTAAAAAAATCTCAATATTTCAGTCAATTTTCAGTCAAATCTCAAAACATGACGCATAAGATGCTATCCAATTCTAAGGAGACAATATTATATTACAAAATTTTAGCTACGGTATATCAAATTCTGCATACTCCAGGGCCCACAATTTAAAAAATCTCTTCTCTGATTTGAACCCTGAACTTTACTTCAAACTTATTTAAAAGAACAAATTATTTTAATAGAAATAACGATAGCCAGAATAAAAATTAGTTAAGAGTCAAATGTTCACCCACAAAATTACATGTACCCTGGCCCATAAAAGTATAGACCGGTAGATAAAAGCATATCTGTAAGCGGGCCGTGATAGAAGATCCATACATTTTTTAAGTACCCTTACTTTTTTGCGTAACATTTTTTTCTTAAATATTTGCGTACCGATAAAAAACAACTATTTTTCACTCAGCGCTGAGGATCTGCAACGTTTGGCTTACTGGATCAGGAACCGACAAAAATATGCAGATCCAGGGGGCAAATCATCAACCAACTTATTTTTTAATGTTGCTTTCAAAACACAAGCCGACATTAACTAATGAAATATTAAAACTTCCTATCTCCCTGAATGGTTCATCATCTTTCACCCTAAAAATAAGCAAAACATGAAGAAACAAATGTTGAATATTTTTCATTGATTTAAAAAATCCGTAAATTCTAAATATTTATAACCTGACGGTCTGGGGATTCCATGTCGGGCTCCCATTCAGATCTATATTTTATTATCATTATTATAATTACAATAACAAAGATTGTTATTGCAAATATAATCATATTGTTTACTAACTCTTGATTAACCATTGATTTACACAGGGGTGTTTATCATCCTTTTTCTCTTTCCCTTCCCTTTCCCCTTCCCTTCCCCCTTTTTCCTTTTTTCTTCATTTTTTCCGCCGAACCCAATGTAAGATCATATTTTTGCCAGGGGACAGAAAAGTATACACCCCTGGATTTTCATTAAAAACAAAACAACTGGCCAATCCTGATTCAACACAGTAGTTAAATATTATCAACCCCTATCTCCCCAACCTTAGTTTTATACACTTAAACATATTTTATTTTTATTTTATTTACTTGGTGTTGAAGTTTTTAAAGATATACTGTTCAGGTTCTGGGTTCGGAATGAGCTACTCTGACTGTGAACATGAACTGAACAACTCCAACTATATTCACATCAGTAAACTCAAGAAAGCTGAATAGATAGATTCAACAATACTTTAGTCGTGTAGTTTTATTCATTATTCTATTTCAGGCAAAATGATTTTAACAACAAGGTTTCTGTCGGAACGCTTCAGGTATTTTTAGCTTTTTAAGAAAAAATATTTTTTTTTATAATTCAATAAACGGATTGTCCGATTTCATTCTGAAACGCTATTCCCATTTCAAAAAAGTTCTAAAAATGTATTTTCTGTAGTACACGATTAGCATCAAAGGATTCTATTTGTCCCTTTTGTATGACAGTATGAGGAGTTCAATCCCATTAATTTGGACAGGATACTAAAGTGAACCGTTTTATTTTATCACTTTAGATAATTTCAATTTGTAAATACTAAAAACTAATTTTTAAAATTAATATTTGTGATTCAGAAGAATGAGATGAATATGGACGAAAGAGAATTTTTTCTCTTAGGATTAGGCCTCCTTGGTCTACTGGGTGAGCATAATAAATCATTATTCATAATTTTTATTGAATAATTTTAATTTTTTTTTAAAAATCGAAATTGTTATTATCTAGCTTCGGTAGCAGCTGTTGTTATCGGAATATTCGGAGCCATCTTTATATCCTTGTCAGCATTTTTGGTTTATCAGGGTAGCAGCTATATTTCAAGGTAAATTGCCTTTATCTCTATGGGGGGGGGGCGGGGTAGTACTTTAAATAATAACCAAATTGTTTACCTGAATATAGATAGATAGTTTCATGAACATTTATTCTCCTCTCAAACGTTTTTTTTTATTTATATCGTGCAAACTTTAAAGTTTTCAAGTTTTCTCTGAAATGATTAAAAAAAAGTTAAGAGGACAGTAATTTTAATCATAAAAGCTTGATTTTTATTATTATTTTTTTTTCTGAAATTTTATATTACAGATCTCCGTTCCGCGTTAGTAATTTTCTGAAAAGCTATCGACCGCCACGGACAGTCTGGTGTTCAAAGGTAAGCATTAGTTTTGTCAACAGCTGGGAGCTATTGTGTTAATCTCGATATACGCTGCGGGAACTTTTAATGAAGTGATCCAGGGAACGATGTCCTTGTGGGATATCAAAAAAGATCAAATTTGTCGGCAAATTAACAAAATATCAAGCACAATCATATCGACAATACAAGAGCAGGGTTACTTATGGATATCGATTCAGGCCGCCCAATGGTGAAACCTCATCANCTAGCTCACCCGACGGCGGTCCGGGGTCTAAAGGGGGCTTTCACAATTCACATGTGTACTCCTTCTAAAACTTCTAAAATCTAAAATTTTTAATTAAAAAATCGTCTTTGCTGTTGAAATTAACGTTGTTGTATGGACTTCAGGCCGCCATCTGCACGATGTTGTATAGCGCCCTGGAGACAGTCTAGGGGTTCCACTTTGGGGTCCCTTTAAGATTTTCACTTGATTTTATCATCAAAATTAATATTCTAGGTTGAGTTTGGGGATATATGGATACCTCCTGATGTAGACGATGCACTAGAAAGGTAGAAAATTGTTAAACAATATTTGCAATAATTTATTTAAAATAAAGACACGAAATTTTGATGTCAACTTTAAGAATGAGAAAAAAACAATGATTTTAAAAATTCCGATTTTTTTTTATTTCTACATTTTGCACTATAATTAAACATGCTACACTGGTTTAGATTGTATGAGAGAATTGTGACTGAATTTATCGTTAGGAATGGTTCACAGAAAAATATTGACCAAGAAATAAAATAATCATTAACAATAAAATTAGACTTGTTTCTTAACCGTCCAGTGTTATTTGTTAAAATTAGAATTTTCATTAAAAATTCTCCATTTTTCAAATTATATTTGATTTGAATTTGACTGTGAACCTGTTGTTTATAGTTGGTATAAAGATATATCTCCAGATCTTGAGTTTATCCAGCAGATTAGAATTATAATTAGAAATATTACTGCAAACATTATCTTCAGACTTATGCGGGTAAGTTAGAACATAATTCCGGAGCTTAAATAATTCAGCATTTTAATATATAAACTTCATTCGATGGTTGATATTGTGCCTTTTGTAGGTTGATATGGTAGATATTTTTAGGTTGATATTGTACCTATTAGGTTGATAAAACTGACCTGTTAATGATTGATATTGTATGCTGATATAACTGAACTATTAATGGTTGATGTTTTACCTATTTTAGGTTGATATAACCGAACTATTAACGGTTGATAATGTACTTATTGTAGGTTGATATAGCTGAACTATTAATAGGGGATTTTGTACATATTGTAGGTTGATATAACCGAACTATTAAGGGTTGATATTGAACCTATTGTAGGTTGATAAAACCGAACTATTGATGGTTGATATTGTACATATTGTAGGTTGATATAACCGAACTATTAAGGGTTGAAATTGAACCTATTGTAAGTTGATAAAACCGAACTATTAATGGTTGATATTGTATATATTGTAGGTTGATATAACCGAACTATTAAAGGTTGATATTAAACCTATTGTAGGTTGATAAAACCGAACTATTAATGGTTGATAGTGTTCATATTGTAGGTTGATATTGAACCTATTGTAGGTTGTTAAAACCAAACGATTATTGGTTGATATTGTACACATTGTAGGTTGATATAACTGAACTGTTAAGGGTTGATATTGAACCTATTGTAGGTTGATAAAACCGAACTATTAAATGTTGATATTGTACCTATTGTAGGTTGATATTACTGAACTATAAATGGTTGATATCGTACCTGTTGTAGGTTGATATAACTGAACTATTAATGGTTGATATTGTACCTATTGTCGCACAACATCTAGACTCTGTTCTATGGACTCGTCAACACACCCAGGTATTACAGACAATCAAGACAATTATGAAAGTTATTCATCAAATTTGCAGACAGCCTCAGCTTTAAAGCGTCGCTACGGTTTGGGTTTGGGTTTTACCTCACCAACTCACTTATACTTTATAGTCTTATGCATATAGATTCTAAAACGGCAACGGTCTTGTTTCTAGTTTAAGTTTTAAAGGATTAATTGGCAAAATACTGCTTGATTTTTGCGTTCTCAGTGGGTAGAATATTACTTTTAATTTTACAATGATGGCCAGATTAGACCTGTTTCAGAACTTATACTCCGTAGTCAGTCTGGGTCACCGTAATGGGTGGACCTATGGACATATATGGTATATATCTTGCATGAACAATATATATTAACAGGAAAACCGGGGGGNGTATTTTTTTTTTCAAAGACCATGTTTCATTTTAACTTTGATCAAATTTCATAAAAAAAATCTAATCCTATCTGCTTCAGTAATTATTTATACAAGTGTATGTGTATTTTTGTTGAAAATTATGATTTTACTCTTCGAAAATATACAAGTTGATTTGGTTTGAAAAGGAAGGGAAAATGAAGGGAAAAAGTAAAAATGGGAAATTGGTTTAAACTTTAATTGATAAGTTGGAATGTAAGGATAATTAAGAAATCTCAAAGAACTCTGCTGAATTTTAGATAATTTTTAATACATAAAAAGTTACCCTTTACATCTCTATTTTACTCACTTATGTGTTAGTGGTATGGGGTTTTCCTCGTTTATAACTTCAAAAATGTATCATGTTGCACATTTTTTTCGTAATTTAAGAGTTGCAATAATTTCAACAAAAACCTGTTTTTGAAAATAGGATTTTTGCAGAAGTGTTCATTGTCTTATAAAAATTGTGTCTACATTTAACATATTCGTGAATAAAACTGATGTATTTTTACGTCTTTAGAAAATGAAGTATAGGCTTGAGAAGAATTCAGTATTAAAAAGCCAAGATTGAGTGGAATAAGATGGTTGCACACACAATATATTTACATTATTACGATACAAATGATTATTGTTGGACCAACTAAAGTTGATCTAAATATACACAACATTCGTTTGGGGCAAGTATATTTCCATTCGACTCTTCTGATCAGAGGCTTCGTCCTAACTAACTCCCCTTTGGAACTCTGGGGCTAGGATCGCCGACAATCTGCTTTCTCTGCCGGAAAGATAAATGCCGTTCGACTTGCTATCTAGATAAGAAAGCGGTTGCAATACCCTTGTCCCTCTACACTGTCGTTACTCCTTTCTCCAGCATCAATCCTTGCACCCCGCGGCCGGTGGGTGGTATCTCTAGATAAGAGAAGGGGTTCAATACCCTTGTCCCTCCGACACTGTTAGGTATTTAAGGCTGCAAACATACCCGAAGTTCAATACCCTTTTATTATTCGGCTTTATTCTGAGATTGCATTTGTTATGTGCATCATTTCTCCGACTGGGAGCAATGAAATTATATGAGAGTATGAACCCTTGGTTGGGTTTACATGAAGATTGATGGATCGTTTTAATAATATTTTTAATATAATTGTTTTTACTTTTACAGGGAGAGCAGGGAAAGAAGAACTTTAAATCAAATTATATCGCCCTTGTAGGCAAAGATGTAAGTTTTTTTTTAAATTTATTCATAACTGCTATTAATTAAGAATATTATTAAAGATGTTACTTTTCAAAGACATTTTCCCAAGCAGCAACTTCCAAAATGTGCAATTTCCCTAGCTGCAACTTCCCAAGTCTAACCTTTGGGAGGTTCTTGCTTGGGAAATCACACATTTGGATGCTGCCACTTGGAAAATTGTCACTTGGAAAGTCGCTTTTGGGGAAATACCGAATTAAAAGGGATAATATGGGCTCAAATCTTGTAAGAGATCTGTCAGACCCCAAAACTGGTAATTTTTGTTAGGTCAGAATCAAAAAATGTATTATTTGCTATAAAACAAGTAACTTGTTTTTTAAAAATGGGAGTTCAATGTTATGCTATGAGATAACGGATAAGTATTTGATGAAGCCCGAATTCAAAATCAATTTCCTGTTTTGTTTAAGGTTCATATAGCCTTGTCCTCTAGAGAGGCAGAAGTTGAATATTTAGAAGATTTATCAGCTAGAATTATTCCTCTTATTTACAAGGTAATCTAATTTTAGTCTTATTATACAAAGCTGCAATGAATCAATGAATGTTTCACTTTCGTTCGTGGTGCGTTCTCAATTTGTGTAATTTTTAAGTGCTTCCTTATTAATGCTTCATAATATAATTAGTGCGACCCAACTTGCGTTCTCAAAAGTGCGCATAAGAATGTTGAAAAAAAATTCCTGCTATTTCTTTTAGGTTCAAAGAAAGTTAAAACTATTTCGTTTTCTGATAGATCTTCGAGCTGTTCATTCACTTATTTTCATATTTACCTATTCTACTTAATATTTTCAGTTCAGAGCAGTTTAGTTTCTAGCTTTGCTCTGAGTTTTGTTAGCAGACCCATCCTACTAAATATTTTATAGGAGGGAGTTAAGAGCAGTTTGGTTTCTAGCTTTGCTCTGTGTTTAGTTAGCAGACCCATTCTACTTAATATTTTAAAGGAGGGAGTTCAGAGCAGTTTAGTTCCTAGCTTTGCTCTGGGTTTAGTAAGCAGACCCATTCTACTTAATATTTTAAAGGAAGGAGTTCAGAGCAGTTTAGTTTCTAGCTTTGCTCTGAGTTTAATTAGCAGTTTTATAGGAAGGAGTTCAGAGCAGTTTAGTTTCTAGCTATGCTCTGAGTTTAATTAGCAGACCCATTCTACTTAATATTTTATAGGAGGGAGTTCAGAGCAGTTTAGTTTCTAGCTTTGCTCTGAGTTTAGTTAGCAGACCCATTCTACTTAATATTTCATAGGAGGGAGTTAAGAGCAGATTAGTTTCTAGCTTTGCTCTGAGTTTAGTTAGCAGACCTATTCTACTAAACCTTCTAGACTCACTCTGTAATCCAAGGTAAAAATATCGACATGGAAACGTTGAAAATTATTTAAGATCATTGATAATTTGAATTTTAAATCTATTTNAGGGGGGGGAGCTAATGAAAGGTAATGGGTCACAATGATGAAGAAATTTTTAGAATTTTCTTTTTGTGAATCTTAAAAATGTGAAAAATATCCAATATTGACAGTCGGTTTCATCAGAATTCTTATCCTATAGGAATGTGAACAAACTTCTTTGTCTCTGGTTTCACCCAGATCCTGGGAAGGAGTTTTTATCCTCACCTGCACCTCCTGTCAAACTCCTATTTAGGTAATAATACAGGGTGTCAGTGTGTTCACTAGTTCAGTATAATTCCTGTTTTTCTAGTATTTTCCCTGTATTTCAAGTCTTTTTCCTGTATTTCTAATATTTTCCCTGTATTTTTAGTATTTTCCCAGTTTTTCTAGTATTTCCCTGTATTTCTAATATTTTCCCTGTATTTCAAGTCTTTTTCCTGTATTTCTAATATTTTCCCTGTATTTCAAATCTTTTTCCTGTTTTTCTAATATTTTCCCTGTATTTCTAGTATTTTCCCTGTATTTCTAATATTTTCCCAATATATCTAATTCTAGTATTGTCCCTGTATTTCTAATTTTTCCCTGCAATTTCTAGTATTTTCTCAGCTTTTCAAGTGTTTTTTCATATTTCTAACGTATTGTATTTCTAACATTTTGCCTGTATTTCTAGTAATTTCCCAGTATTTCTAATATTTTCCAAGTATTTTTAGTATTTTCCAATTATATCTAGTATATTTCCTGTATTGCTAATATTTCCCCGGTATTTCATGTATTTCTAGCATTTTCCCTGTATTGTTACTATTTTCCCATTATTTCTAACATTTCCTGTATTGCTAGTATTTCCCTGCATTTTTAGTATTTTCCATTGATTTTCTAAATTTATAACACCTCTTTTTTATTTTAATTATTTTTCCCATGTTCTATTTAGTTTCTTACTTTTTTAGATTTGTTCATTCTCATCATCATTCATCTCCATCATCCTTTCATGTGGATTTATCAGAGATTCTTAGTAACCAGGTAACAAACATAATTTTAGTATATATTAAATAAAATTAAAGATATTTGAATAAAAGGTTTTAAAGTTAGGGTTGTTTTAAAATAAAGTTCTGTTCGTTTAGTTTTTAGATCTTGCACCACCATGTAAAATTGTTAATATTTGTAGTTGCTGTTTGGCGCTTTGATATTTACTCTTTAACCATTGGCTCTAGTAGTGCATTGTGGATCCCATATATGTAATAGACCTTTAACATTGTGTCTGTTAGGAGCTGTTGTGTCAGTTTGTCCATTACTTAAAGGGATGTGGAGGTGTTAATCTACTTAACTTCTGCCTTGCTGTAGGTTAGCAAATATCTACAACTTTATCAGGGGTAGACAATAGACATGTTCATAAGTTAAAGCTTTATAGATTTATCCTTTTACTGATTTCACATCTATAATTCAAATTTTAATATTTGAGCACTAATTTGAATCTGACTAATATAGAGGTTTTTCCATCATTATTGAAATATTATATAAACATATTATGGTAAAAGATTCCACTCTTTACTCATTATTTTGATTATAGAGGATTTCAATAAGAAAATAATGAATGCCGGTCTCACCAAAACAGAGTTGGTCAACCTTCATGCGGAAGCCAAGTAAGATTTTTTTTAAATTGCTTCTTCTGACTTACCTGTTTTTTTTTGTATGTCTTTTTTAACTTAAATAATTAATTTTAATTAAGTTTTACAATATTTTCAAATATTTATATGATATCAGATGCAAATATTTAGAGATTTCTATATTTCTTTTTCTTCATTTTCTTATTGTTTGTACATCTTTCAATCATATTTCGGCTAATTTGAAAAAAAAGATTTTTTTTGGATGTCCTTGTAGTACACCACTCTACAAGAAAGAACTTTTCTTGCTTTATTTTCTGAACTCTGTATTGCATTGAACTAGCTGAGATGATCTTACTTTCTTTCTTCGGAAATCTGTATTAAATTGTTTACTCATGAGTTACATCTGACTAAGCAAAACACAAATTCCTGATATTTTCTTGGGGGCAGGGAGTGTGAGGAGATCAATCGTCTCCCCCCTCCTGGGTGGGCAGGGGGGGGGGGGAACGTCTACCAAGAGATTTCCCTTTCAATTTTTCCTGTTCAATTTTCTATTTTCTTCTTGCTTCTTGTTTCTTGTTTCTTGTTTCTACATTTTAAGGCCTCTCCAAATAGTTCTTTTGACATCGAGTTGTGGAGCAGGTAGGAGAGAGATAAGGGGGTTTGTAGGAGGAAGGGTATAAGGGATTTCTCCCTGTTTTCCTTCGTGTTATATAGTTTGAAGGAAACCCCATAGCTGCACCCCTTATGCAAAATGGGGAGTTGTATGCCTTAAAGCCCCCATTGAGAGAAATCTTCCACGGCAGTCGAGTCCTCACAGCTGGTCAAATAAAAAATCGGTATCGATGTGCATGACTTATATACCCATCAAGGGTTAAACTCCTTTTAGCTGCACCAGGCTGAGGATGAAGTCTTGTTTTATTCTATATACATTCGCAACTCCCCTGTTGGATATGACATGTGCAACTAAACGCAGCTCTCCCCCAAACTGTAAAGCCAGGACCGCTATAAGAGAGGTCCGTTCCTTCTGAGGACAGTAAGCAACTGTTTTGTATGCCTTGTAGGCTTTGAAAAAATCCTAAAACTATTTCTGAGAGGGGTTTGGGAGAGGGAACTCAATAATCATTATCCATGATTTCGTTAAAATCTCTTTTCTTTAGGTATCTATCTAACCTTTTTTATTTCCCAGTTTTTATGAAATCCTTGTTAAGGGTCTTGTTCAATACATACATGAATGTTGGTTCATCGCAGTTCATTTCCTTTACTTCCGAAATAGTCGAAGACATTAACAACATCCTTCTAGGGGAGTTCAAAGGTAAGTTTGGTTTTTTTTTTCTTTTCTCAACAATGCTAAAATATAAATAATGAAAAAATTATATTTTTAAAGATACTTTCTTAGTTTTATCTGTCTGTTTTTTAATTTTAGCTAAGACACCATATTCAACTAATTAAAATTTCAATTCTCGTCAATAGATGTAGAAAAGTTGAGAACCACTCCTCCACTCTTCCGTGCATATGAGCAGGCCTACAATAATCTGGAGGACAACTTCTGTCCAGACTTTCATCTTAGCTCACAGGTAATACATTAAATACATTAATATTACTGGCATTTTATCTTATTAGAGGTCGGAACTTTGGTGTTGAGTATTTTTTAATTTATACACTAGATCATGATATCCTATGTGGATACTTAAAGGGACAGACCGGCTATGTAAGGTAGTTGAACTGATTATGCAGTGTTGTGGAAACCCTTTTTCGGATTCATGCAAGACATACTAAACTTTTTAAAGATATTATATCCTGAGTTTGAGCGCAAATTCGACGTTCAAAACTCCTACTTTGGGAGTGAATACGTTTTCAGAATTAGTTTTTTTAAATTATTAAATAACGACGACATAAAATGTAAAAAACAGACGTCATGTATAGGAACATGTTGAGAAAATGAAAATTAATCTAATCATCGAAAATAAGTAATCTTGTTCAATTGTTAGTTACTATTTTCTCATTATTCTGGTTTTTCATTAGTCACAAAGATTTTCGCAGATTTTCTAGAATTATTATTGAAAAGACGACATTTGAAGAATTTGAAGAAATCTGAGAACAAATTCAAAGAAGATAAGAAGTTCAATATAATAATGAAAACGAAATAATCGATTTTAGCATTGATTTATAGACAAATTTCTTTTAAGAAATATGTTCCTAACCATTTAATTAGATTACTGTATAATGGTTACTTTATTTTTCGATGTCGTTATTTAATAATTTAAAAAAAACTAATTCTGAAAACGTATCCACCCCCAAAGTAAGAGTTTTGAACGTCGAATTTTCGCTAAAACTCGGGATCTTCAGATCTTTAAAACGTTTTATATGTCTCAAATGAATCCGAAAGAAGTTTTCCACAACACTGCTTACTCAGTTCAACTACTTTACATAGCCGGTCTGTCCCTTTAAAAAGATAAAAATTGTTGTTTGATCCGATCATTTTGATTATCACTGCGGGGTAGGATCGCTACGGGATATCAAAGATTAATCTGCATAAGATAGAGATCAATGCTTGATCCCGGGATTCACAATATAAGTTCCGACTGAGAAATAGTTTAAAATCTGTTTTCACCATGTAAAGCTGTTTTTGGGGGGATCAGCATTAGGGAGTAAGGAATAGACGGGAGATATAACTGACGCGGTTCGCCCTACCACATGATTATACAATACATGCTTTGCTGACGGGTACTCCATTTGAATAAGAAATATTTGTCTGATGTACAATTACCGCGTATACAATAACCTTTTCTGAATATTTCTTATACAAATGGAGTACCCGTATGCAAAGCATGTATAATCATATGGTAGGGCGAACCGCGTCAGTTATATCTCCCTTCTATTCCTTACTCCCTGATCAGCATTCAATCTGTTAATAAACTCAATTATACTTGGGTCGACTGATAAATTGACAATTTATTATAGGACTTATTTGCTTTTTCTTCGATTTTATTAATCTTTTAAATAGTTCCTTATTAACAACTACTCCTCAGTAGTCTCAGTTTAGACCATGTTATCAAAATAAGTATGTATTTAGTATTTAAACCTGAACTTTGGTTGTCGACTTGCTGAAGTCAAACCTAATTCAATAAACAAGTCCTCGAGTCAAGACAGGTCTGTTAATTTCCTTTCTTTTCTTGACAATTTACTTTCCTTCGGTTTGGGAAGACCAAAATTAGTCTTTCCACAAATAACAAAACATACTTATCTGATATGGTCTTCCCAAATATTGTTTTTATCTATTTATCAAATTACTGCATGCACTTTATTTGAATCTAGAAGTAAGAGAGGGGATTTCGAGTTTTTATTAAACATGTGAATATGTGAATATGTGAGATGAGATCTGAAAGAAGCCCCATCTTGGGCAACCCAGACCGCCTACTTTTTACTCGAGATTAAAGTTGAACAAAATAAATTACCAAGGATTAAATTTATGACAAATAACAATATTTGTTTGTCAATTTTTTAGCACACCGTAAATTACATTCTCTTATTAAAACTTTTGAAATAAGATTTTTATACATTAAAAGATATTTTGAAAGGTTTAGGAGCATTATAAGTTTGTTTTGAGTCGAAATCCACTTTTTAACACAAAAAAAGCTTAATTGGTACATTTGGCAATGGTGTTAGCTTGACTAAAACCAGTGTTGAAGGTTTTTTATTTCCCGAAATTGCCGAATTTACCAATTAGGTTTTAACCTTAGAAAGTTTTTAATATTTAATTTGAACCTTTTTCTTATTTTTATTTTTTATTTTTCTTCCATTTTGAATTTTTCCCATTTTAATAATTTCCTTCTATTCTCTAGTTCATATTTCTATTCAGGAATAAGAAGGGTTGGCTCGCGTCTATAAATCCTTTCAGCAAAAAATCTAAATGCACAACTTCCCAATCTATTTTTTATGATGGTTTATCACTGCATGATGATTGTCCTATTAGGCATGGAAGTTGAACAAATAAACAATCGTTTGTTTAACATCATCCTTTTCACAACCAAAGACTGTCAAAATGCAAATTCCTAAATAGGATTTTTTTGTCAAAAAAATGTATATTCCTGTTTGGTATTGGGTAATAGAGCTTACTCAGTAAACGAACAACATTTGTTTCACATGATTTGAAAAACTGACATTTTTGGCAAAAATATTTGTATTTTGTAGTGCACTAATTTAATTAATTAAAATAGTTCAAATTTAGATTAACAAAATATTCTTACAGCACCCTAGTACATGCTTTAAATCTTTTGCCGATGTTGATTTTTTCTTAATTCTCGGTTATAGCACAAATACCTAGCTAGAAAACTGATTTTTGCTAGAGAATTGTTTTCTTAATAGACTAGTTTTCGCTTAAACTGTATAAAATGAGACAAAAGACGTACAGAATGTACATTGAAAAATTTCCATGAGATCTAGTATGAGTGGGTTAAGACGAAGTGTATCAGAATCTGATATTTTGGAAGATAAATCAGAGGATAAAGATATTTCAAGGTTTTCAGGACAAAATATTTATAATTTAGATTCAAATCTTTGAAGTCATCAGACATGAAATAATGACGACATTGTTCTTTAATTTTGATACAATACAAGAAAATTATGAATTTTATTCTGGAGGTCTTGTGAAAATTTGTTAGAAGATGAACATTCAAATGATCTCTCTTTATATGACCTGTCACCTGCAACCAGAGCACAGGGATGTATAAACACGTCAAAGTTTAGCCCAAGGATAGTACTAATTCATACATGTCGACTGTCAACGTAATATTAAGAGATCCTCAATTTAAGAGTTACTTGTCTGATTCACATTGGTACTCTTTAAACCTTTATCACCGTCTTCCCACCTTGAAGATAAATTCTGTCAGTTTTCTCCTTTGTCTCTTTTGCAGTAATCCCCAAGTCACTATAGTGACATCTCCATAATTTTGCTGAGACATAGATTTTACGGATACTGTTGTGGAAAGGTATTCCAAGTCGGGTCTTTTTAGATTTTTTACATAATAATAATTAGAGTGTCACTTGAAATTACGTCGACAGTCCCTTTAATGCGTTGATTTCCATATTTTATTACATCGATTAGTCTTTGGATATGTTGGATGAGCCTAAGGACGTATTGTCAAGTCCCCGAAGTAGCACAATGCCTAAAGATTTAAAACCTCTTGAAAAGGCAAAATCTTCTCGTAAAGTCAAACCGAAAGCTTTGTTAAAAAGTATCTCCGTTGGAGTTGAACATAATGTTGCGTCGCCGCTGAGAAAGATGTCAGATGTTGGAAGAAAAATGGCGTCTGTTCTACCCTGGAGACGGGGTTCTATATCGTCTCAGACCTCAAACACGGATTCTATAATAGAGGAAACTAAATCTTGTCTGGACCCAGAGCAGGAGACTGATGCTGATAGGTAGATATCTGGGAATTCAATGTATTGTGTTCTAATGTGCATGGGTATTATTTTTGTTGAAATAAATAACCTTGCTGGGAGCTGTCTTTTCTTCGTCTGAAGTTCAGAATTTACTCCGCGGAATTAAAAACTTGTGCTGAGGTCGGAATTTATAAATAGCAACAAGTATTTGAACTAGGTATGGCTAGGTTAACTTCTTCTAAAGTGTACTCTTTGCCACACTGAATATTATTTCTTAGCTCAATTACTTCTCTCATTAATTATTATTTTCAATATTATTCACTAGCTACTCACTCGGTTTTATCTTTACTAGATTTTAAACATGAAATTAAAAAAAATATTTAAAACTTACTTTTTACCAACTTGAATATTTTAACTATTAGCTCTGATTTTATTAAACAAATATTGAACTATCCCCCAGTAATTCAACTGATAAGAATTTTAGTTTTGTACCTTTTAACCACTGTTAAAATTTACTTGGAACACTGGAAATGTATGTATGTCTTCTATGTATATATTTTAAGTTAATATTGCATATCATAAACTAGATATCCTTCATGTTCCATATTGCAAGGAGGGAATTTATGTAGTACTAAACTAACTAAACACTATCTCAGTGGTTTCCATGCTTTGTGTTGGGAACCCAGCCTTGCCTGAAATCTAAGTTTTCTTTATAAGAGTCAACCTTTAACTTAGACCTTTTAAACCAAGCTAAGATTATTTCCGTGGTTCTACTGAGTTCCTTAATCATCAGTTAGGGGGTTCCTGAGGCATTGTACATACAAACAAACAGACATAACTAGTTTATATATAATTTATTTAGTAGTAATCTCTATTTGATTGCTAGGATTCTGATCATAACTGATAAACCCCTGGTCCCATTTGCCTCCAATTATGATTGGGGAATTCAGTAGAACTCCATAAATGTTCTTAGATTTTTTTTATAGAGTGGTTATTTGTATAGTGAAAAAAATGTTTAAGCCAAAGCTGGGTTCCCAAGCTAGTTTAGAAAAAAATGACAACTAAAAGGTTTTGTAAACTGATGTTTTATTTTATTAATTGTTTTTGTTGTTCTAACATATTTCGGATAATTTGTACTGTTAAGTGGACTGGTTATTAATAATCATTTTTAAAAGTTAATTTCATGAAGGTTTAATCTAAATTTCAGTCGGCAATAAGGTTTCTTAATTTTTATCCATTTTTTACCATTTTGTTTACAACAAGGAAATAAGGGCACCTAGCCTGCAGATCATGAATGTTTTTAAATTAAATAATGAGTGTTTAAGTATTTTTATGTAAATATAAAGATTATATTTATCATAATAACATAAAGACACTATTTTATAATTAGTGCACCCCAGATATGAAGAAAAGGTAAGAATAGTAAGTGATATTGTATGCATGAAATAAATTAGTAGTTTATGCTTGGATATTAAATGTTGTAAAGTTTAAAGCCTGGGACAGGGTATCTCCCAGATTGATAACAGTCACAGATATGTTTAGATCTTGACGCTGTGATCTTATTTCTGTGGTGTTAGCCCCGATGGTCGTATGGAATCCCCAAGACGGGGGGGGGGGCAGATCATACCCTTTCTTATTTTATCTAGTCCTAAAACTTTATGACTTAAGTATTGATATTTATCTTCCAAAGTTTGCGTTTTTTTTCTTTATCAAACATGATCCCTGGGAGGAACTCTGACCTGGATAATATTTTGTCCTAATCCATGATGATTATTATGCAGGATTCCTGGAGGTAAGCTGAGCCGGTTAAAGCAGGGTGTGCTAGGAAACCCTGTTGAGGGCTGCCCGTGTCCAGATAGATTGACGGATTCAGCTTTCGATCTGGTCTCTAATATGAAGGTAGTAATGTTGTCACATGATCACATCCCTTTTTTGTATCAATTTATTTTACTAACTCGAGAATTAAATGTACATCAGAGCTCTGTGGCTTTGTGAGTTGCGTCACATATCTTGCTGCGCTCCCAGCAACCGTCGTGATCGGTAACAAAATACACGTTGTTAGAAGGCATAACATACAAACCTGTCAATGCTCAAAAAGGCCGGGGTGGTGTAATAATTAAGGTTTTACGAGAACATTTTAATAAACTTCTCTGGTTCGCAAACCTTACCCGATTCAGTTGATGACCAAAGAATTTCACAGCCAATTTCCATCTCCATTTACGCTACATGGATCAATTGCTTTGCTACAACAACAACAGAACACACTTTTTATCCAAAATATCTTATTTGATGCGATTTTTTCTGAATTCATGTCAAACACTTCTTTTATTTTAGAATGATTCCAGTAATATCAACCAAGATCTGGAGATTAGAGACTTGAGCGCCTGGAGAGTTGAGATACGGAACCTGGAAACAAGAAGTTTTGGCGGGAAATCTTGCTTTGTTTTTATTCTCCAGGTTTGTTTTTAATTTGCGAGTTTTTAAAAATTGAATATCTAGTTATCCAACGCTCAGAATTCCTCTTTCTGTAATAATCACCAGAGATTTAAGATAATTGATTTAAAAAGTCAACTGGATTTAAATCTTTGAAACCTTATGTTAAAAGCAGAACCAAAAAGGCACATTTAAGTCTGTTTTTTAATAGTTGTTCTTAAATAGCAAATTTGCAAATAACAATTTTAAGCATTTTTATAAATATAATAATTCAAGCTGCTATATCAAATTCTTGATTTGATTTGAGCCTGCTAGGCTGGGTAAATAAACTTTAAATCAACCAAACATTTTGGGATACACAAATAGAATCCGCGAAGTCTGATCCTAGGAATCCTATTGTTAAAATATCAACCGAAAAACCTTAGGTTTCTGACTAGTCAATGCTAGCAAGTTGTAACATTATGTTTAAGTTTACGATATTTTTTTGGATGTGGAAATAGAATTAAGGCACTTTAATTTAAATACTTTTTTATTCTAGGTTCAAAGAATTGATGTAGCGTCAGCTAGTGATGGACAGGATTTAGAGTGGACTGTTGCAAGGTAGGGAGCAATGTATCCAATGTTGTCATTTTATCACGTTTTTATCAATGACAAATATGCCTCTTTATTATTAACTAAATTGGCCCTATCATACTATTAATTTCTTTCCAATTTACCAATTTACCTGAAAAACATCTGATAAGACCCTCCCTACGCCGGCGGCCCAATTTTTGAATACCTTTTTAAATGGGGAAACATTTTTCAAGATTTTTCTACGTTCAAAATTCCAGGGATACGAGAAAAGTTTTCTTTTCTATTCCTGTAAATAATATTTGACTAAATAATTGTCTATGTTATCAGGCAGTATCATGAGTTCTATACTTTGCAATCTGCTCTCACACAATTCCATGGAGTATTAGATGATATAAAGGTTAACACAAGACATATAAACTAAAACTATAAAAATAATATCTTATAAAAGAGATGTAGTCGTAATTTCGAGTAACTCTCTCTCAATAGAGTGACATGTCCGATCCACAACCATGAAAGCTCTTTGCCTGATCAAGGATCAGTAAAATATCCATGTTTATCTCTTTAAAAAATTCATATTTTTCCAGTGTGGTTTCTTTCCTACAAAAGTGTCTTGAAGAAACAATGGGAGAAAATTATCAGGATGAAACACATTTCAAGCTAGAAAAAAACGACGATATCTTCCACATTATTGATCAAATAAAGTTTTTAATGGTATCGTATTGAATCGGACATCCCCGGCCCTTATTATTAAATTGAGGGTCCCATGATATCATTACTACAGCCTCTTTATATTTCAGTTACCAGCCCGCAGTAAACTCTTCCGAGGACGGGGTCTAGATGTACTTCAGTCAAAAATTGAACCATTTCAGGTTTTAATTTGTTTATAATAATGAGGATATTCTTAATTTAGATTTGTTTACAATTTATTTCTCTTTAAAATAATTTTGGATCTTATGGGGAAACGATAGATGTATTGCAAATCATAATTAAGCATAAAATATTAAGATTAAATTTTAAATCCGGAGTCGCGTTAGTTTTGGAACTCTATTTCAACATTCATTCTTTCTGTCTAACCTGGTCTTTTTATGTCTTTTCGGGGGTTTGTAAATTTGTGGAGTTCTTTAATATTTATTTAATTTGTGCTTACTGATTCTACTGTTCAGGATTATCTGGTGAAACTGCTGCAGCAACCAAGCCTGAAAAAGTCAGATCTTCTTTTCACATTTCTTACTTCGCAAGAAGGGAATTTACTCTTATAAAAAAAAACATTTTTTGTAATATTCTCTTTTTTTAATATTAATTGTATAATTTTTCCCTTCAACGATCGATTGCAACGAATTATTCCTTCTATTTTTTAAAAGAAGTAAACTTGATTAGAGTTTACTGAAGCCGCGTCCCAGCTTGGTTTAACCAGAATGATTAAAAATGTTCCCAAAAAACTAACCAAGGAGAAAGGACAGTCCTTACATGAATTCATCAATTCATTCATTAATTCAACAATTCCTTCAAAAGACAGGTAATATTATAAAATGTACACATCGTTATTTAAATGATCTGTAATCGTTACTGTATTAAACGTGAAGTATGACGCTTTTAACACAGTTTTCAAACTCAATAACATTTTTTTAACAGAATAAGGTGTGCTATGGTTTTATTTGACGCTAATTTTGCAATTTGCTTGTACACTGATTTAATGACCTAATAGAAGAATATGATGTTGTCAATATCTCTGTTCGTAGACTGGAAATATAGGATCTTGCACTTAGACGGCTCCAATTTTTAACTCGGGGCCCTAGTGAATCAAATTCTAGTATTACAAACTTTCTGTACTAGAGTCATGTGTTTTTCTTTTTTAGTGAGTTCAGTTTGTCAGTGGATGACAGTATTTCCGACAATCTGGATAATAAATCCATTTATGCAGGAATATTTAGATAGAATTTTTAAATATCTTCAGATTTTTTTACTCAGTTTTTATTATCTCAACTATTCAAAATAAATAGATTATTTATGTGGTTCACGATATGAAAAAAAAATATTTTAAATAAACCATAACAGAAGGTTTTGCTTCATCGTGGTAGTTATTGAGACAACATTTTGATTTGTTCTTATTTTTGGTGAATAACTATCATCGAACTATGTTCTTTATTAGTTGTCCATTTTAAAGACATGAATATACCGTGAAAGTTCTATATTTTGAATTGTATGTTCTAGCCTAAATATTGGACAGATAATTTTTCCGAGCATTTTCCTTTTAGTGGAACAACCCTGGGACCCAGCCAAACCTTCAAACCAGGTAACTGAGTTTAGTAAACTTGAGAAGATAGTTTAGTGGAACAACCCTGGGACCCAGCCAGACCTTCAAACCAGGTAACTGAGTTTAGTAAACTTGAGAAGATAGTTTAGTTTACTTGGTTAAAAACTACATGTTTGTGAGAAAAGGGAGCTTTAATAGAGATACGAGGGAAATGAGGAAGTAAATTTATCAAAGTTAACTCACCTACAAAGTTTAATGAACTTAGTAAGAGAAATAAGGTAGAGGGTTAATTTAGTTAACTTATGTAGAGAGTTAATTTAGTTAGCAATTAGGTAGAGAATTATATTAGTTAGCTTAGGCAGAGAGTTAATTTAGTTAACTTAGGTAGAAAGTTAATTAGTTGACTTAGGTAGAGATTTAGTTAGTTAACTTAGGTAGAGAGTAAATATAGTTAATTTAGTAAAGGAGTTTATTGTTAATTTAGGTAGAGAATTAATTTAGTTACTTAGTAAGAGAGTTTATTGTTAGCTTTGGTAAAGAGTAAATTTAGTTAACTTAGTAAGGGAGTTTATTGTTGACTTAAGTAGAGATTTAATTTAGTTAATTTAGGCAGAAAATTTGTAGTTGAGGAGACTTTTTGTTGAGATACAATTTTAACACTATTCAACTTGATTAGATGGGCTTTACGAGATTATACTGTACTTGTGCTTCCGTGTGTTCAAAGTTGGTAATACAGTCATCAGGTAATACTTTATTTAGGAGCCTCAAGTAGATTTGATTTTATATACTTCATTTTATTCATTATTTATTGGGTTTATTCAAATTTTTATATCCAGAAACCAAATTTAATGAATACCGAGAAGCAGTTGAACCGTGTAAACATTGTTGAACCACTTCTCTCGTGCACCACCAGGGTTAAGATAAATGGTTCAACTACGTCTACGCAATTCAAATATTTTACGCTATTATTGATTCTGGTTCAAGTTTCAGCAAAGATAAACCGAATACTTTTTCTGAACTTATCAAAACTTAGTTCTCATTGAATGAGATATTCAAAGAAAAGGGGGAAAATATTAAAACTGCATAAACATCTTAACAATTTCATTGACAGTTCTTTTTTCACTGTTCTTCATCTATTTATTGGTTTATTTTCATTAATTGTATTCTCACTTTATTATTGCTAAAAGTTGTTTTACTCCTATTTGATATCTAGGTTATTATACAGCGTGAAATGGATTCTAGAGACCTCTGTGAATCATATTGTTAACTACCTTCTAGCATCTAAACTTAACACTCTGCTAATTCATAGCAGAGTGTCATATATCATTGATGTAATACAAGGTAGAATTATAAATAACTTATCAAAATGTATAACTCATTTTTATGAAACAAGAGCGGTCATCAGATTTGGGTTAAACATTGTTAAGCGAGAGACTGTGACTTTGAAGATTGCAATTAAAGAGTGCCAAGAGCAATTTTTAAAGCTACAGACGAGTTTACTGTATCCTTTATATCTACTGTCACGACAATAGTATTCCTTTATATCATCAATGATGTCGTAGGCCTGTTATTTGTTTTGAAATAAAACAATGTTGACCATTTTCTTCGGAGCTTTTTCAGCAAATCCAGGATTCCATAGTTTTGGAAATTTTATTTTATTAACGGTTTTATGAATTAATATTTTATTTAGAGAGTATATTTTGTCCTGAGGAGAATATACCTGATGAAGAACATAATTTTATAGCAGACAAAACACTTAAATACTTCAGGTCATTTCATATTAATCTCACCAAGGGTGTATATATATATATATGTACGTGAGGGGTTTTTAGGGGTTTCCTTGCTGAATCCAGCAAAAATGCCTTTTGATGTCAGATTATTCCTTTTTTTCTTCCAAAACCATCAACAATCGGGGGGAGGGGGTAATTCTAAAAAATGTACACCCCTGAATCTCACAAGAAGAGGATGTTCTATTTGGTGTACTGTTCGTTTAGCCGCATATAGTTTGCATACTTTGCCGGCCTTTAGTAAACATATCATTGATTGATTAATTTATGTACAACATTCTCTATCTGCCTGGATGTCGGTCTGGTACTTTAAATAAAGTTTACAGAGATTTTTGATTTTTTTTTTTTGAGCAATTGACATTCCTCTTATCTTGGAATTGCGAGTGCTTAGTATCCTAATCTTGTAGGAAATATCAAGCAAAATATACCAAAATAAAGTTAACCATTCACATCATTTTTCGTTTAATGCTTAATGTGTTTTTTTTCAGGAAGTATATTCCCAGCATTTTAGAAACCATTTCCCCTGCTGGGTTTGAGTCAGGAACTAAAGATTTGTTTCAAACATTCCAGGTGAAATATTCATAACTTTATTTGGTTCTTTGATGTTTACCCGTTTTTCAATCCTACTCATTTCATTTCAAACTTTGGTTCTTTGATGTTTACCTGTTTTTCAATCCTACTCATTTCATTTCAAACTTTGGTTCTTTGATGTTTACCTGTTTTTCAATTCTACTCATTTCATTTCAAACTTTGGTTCTTTGATGTTTACCTGTTTTTCAATTCTACTCATTTCATTTCAAACTTTGGTTCTTTGATGTTTACCTGTTTTTCAATCCTACTCATTTCATTTCAAACTTTGGTTCTTTGAAGTTTACCTGTTTTTCAATTCTACTCATTTCATTTCAAACTTTGGTTCTTTGAAGTTTACCTGTTTTTCAATTCTACTGATTTCATTTCAAACTTTGGTTCTTTGATGTTTACCTGTTTTTCAATCCTACGCATTTCATTTCAAACTTTGGTTCTTTGATGTTTACCTGTTTTTCAATCCTACTCATTTCATTTCAAACTTTGGTTCTTTGATGTTTACCTGTTTTTCAATCCTACTCATTTCATTTCAAACTTTGGTTCTTTGATGTTTACCTGTTTTTCAATCCTACTCATTTCATTTCAAACTTTGCCAAACCATTAACAACAAAATTTCTGTGTTAACAATAATTACTCAGCATTAAATTCGAAACTTATTAACTTATTATTACTTATTTTTGACGCCAGATATTTTTAAAGGGTCTATTTTTTTAATCCTGACCGGTCATAAGTCCACCAATTGGTACATCTCAGGTCTTTCAAATGATGTTAGGCCTATAGACACAGCTGTGTTTTTGGGAATAGATATAAAATATTCATATTTAAATTGTATTTTATTATCTAGGATCCGTGGTTGAACAAGCAACTGATATATACACTCCTAGAAAATATTCATATTTAAATTGTATTTTATTATCTAGGATCCGTGGTTGAACAAGCAACTGATATATACACTCCTAGAAAATATTCTTCCCAAACTTTTCCCAGAACTAAGAAACTGAGCAAGCAAGCTAGACTTAAAAGTTAAAATATCAATTTATCTTTAAATTTTACCATTCGATCGTGCCAGTCATCAGTTATTCAGTCATCATACATGTTTTGGTCTTCTTAGAAAAAATTAATTTTACATAAAAAAAATCTTATATCTTGCATTTAAAAAAAACCTCCATGTTTTTTAGCGATTCTCACAGAAAGTTATTTTCTAAAGATGCTGTAAGCTAATTTATTCAATTCATAATTAGGGACCGAATTCAATGAAACTGAGTTAGGTAGCTGAATTACTACCTACTGTCGATTCAAATATTTCTTGTTAGTTTTGCTGTGTAGGTATCATCGGGGACAAATTCTGAATCACCGATCCCATGTCTTAATTATGTAAACAGCTAAACTGCACAACTACAGACAAGTATTTGAATCCACTGTAGGTAGGTCATCAACCTAGCCCAAACTCATTAAATTTGGTTATGAGGGTAGAATTGGAAATTGCTTCATAGCAAGCGCTACCTCCATAAAAAGTTTGTTGTAAAGCTTTCTGTAATCTTCATGCCGCTATATCGTAACAATGATAATGAAGTTGGGATTTAATTTGATGGTTTAATTATTGAAATATTTGAGTCTAATTGAAGAAAATATTAATGCTCTGATTATTATTCGGAAACTTTTTACCTAAAACTTTTTCTTCATTCTGGAACCTCGTTTTTAAAATAACAGACCATTCCTTTCAATTTTGTTTTCAAGATTGTTTTACGCAGTAACAAAATCTGTAAAGTCTTGGCTTACAAAACGGCATTATTAGAAACTTATAAAGTTTTGGTTGTTAAACTTCTTGTTCAAGCGAAATGGCTAGATTATGGTGAATTTTTATTATATTTTTATGAATATTTAGAACATATCTGTTTAGTAATCTAACTTTTGTTAAAAATGTGTTAATATTTGTGAACAAGCTGAATCAAAATCTATGAAATTAGTCCAGGGCCAAGACAGCTTGCATTCTTCTTGCATTTAGTATCTTATCCTGTGATAACGAAACAACCAATAGTCAGAGTAACTATCAATCATATTCATGTTTAAATGTTTATTATGTGTGTACTGTGTAGCGTATAGGAATAAATTTTTAAGATATCGTTGTTTTACACTCGTCTGACAACAACACACTAAAATGTATGTATTTAATGTTAGGACAAATAAACTATGAATTAATATCACTAAAGTAAAGCTTGAGATAAAGTTTCTGGCAGCGTGAATGTGGATGCCTTTTTCAGATTCTTTTGAGAATAGACAAGTGAAATACATGAAAAACCTCTTAATTTGAAAAGTAATCTAGTCTTTGAATTCTCTGAATCTACTGAACGACTGATGACTGTACTAAGGAAGGTAAGTAAACTTGTGCCCCCATAAATCAAATCTAAATGATATCAGAAAAAAGTAAACCAAAGCAATGTTTATCTTCTGTTTTCTATTGTTCTTGTGTCGATTTGAATTTCTTATTTCTTTGCAGTTGGAAGAATTTTTAGTGCAGATCTTAATATAGTAAGGGATGTTTTTGTATTTAGGGAGGATAAAAATAATGGTGGCATATTAAGGGTAATAGATATTTATTCTACACTAATGGACCCCTGTTAATGTATATTGTAGAGGATTCCTGAACCCACAAGTAAATTAGAAATCTGGAAAGGGTTAAATTTTGCATAGTCTTTTGGTTAAAATGCCTATGGAAAGCCTTAAAATTATTTTACCGACTAAATAAACACTTCTCTCAGTGCAGTTAAGATTATGTAACAAACACTAAGATTAAAAATTTAAAGTTTGATATTAAGGTTTTGAATACTTCTGCACTTATACACAAATTGTATCCCAATTTTAAACTAATAAATTATGACTAATTACCATGCAGTTTAGAATGGGAATCTTAGTTATTTTACTGAATATCAAATATAAATAAAGTTAATCTGAAGATTAACAGAAGATCAAGATCAACCAATACAAAAGTTTCCAACACTGAAGGGATAAATGAAATGAAGAGATTCTCAAAATAAAAATGCCCTCTGTGGATATAGAGATCAAATACTAGTCCAGGGCCAATCATCAAAAACAATTTATGGATTGATTGGTCCTGCTATAAATCATTACATGTCCTATAAAACTTAAAATGTATGATGTTAATATTTAGTTTTTGTAGCAAAACTAAAGATTTATAATAATAATACAGTTCCCAGCTCTGGTTCCGCAAATATCTCAGAGTATCAAATCACCAACATTTAGACGAATTTTTCTTGGGACTCTTCTTACAGAGCATCAAAAGCATTACCTTTTCAAAAATAGACGGAGACAGTTTCAGATTTAATTTAAAAATCAACATAAAAAATACATTATATTATTTTGTAATATTATTTAATCATTAAAGTGCACTGAGTGCATATATCAATACTTGGCTTTAGAGTAGTACTTTACTGTGACATTCTATGAAAAAAGTTTTTTTTCTCGATCGACAAATTCCTTGAAACAATTTGGAGATAAATTCTTAAGCAGGGATTGAAAATGAAGAAAAATACTTTACCATGCAGTTTTAATACTATTTTTTCGGACAAAATACTTAAATTTGTGAGATACAGGGTTACCCACAAAGGATGAGACTAAGAACCGACTGTACAGAATTTATATTGCTCGTTTTCTTACATTCATGATTCCTAACGCATTTACACTTGTTTCTTTCAGTGCCATCTCCTGAAATAAACCATTAAAATACTACATCTACAACAGAGGATTCAACATTAGCTTAGGATCGTGATATTTGAAGAATTTCAGGTAGTATTTAATGCATCACAGTCTCAAACTTTGTGAGTGAAAACCTGTAGAAAACACGGAGAACAGGAAGGGGGAAACAAATAATTCGTATTCATGTAGGCGTACAAGTACATATCAGTATAGTCCATTGCTTCTCCTTAGGTCTCTTCTTGTAAAGTTTATATGTCAAAGGCGTACACGTGGTCAGTAAAATCTATGGCTTCCTTTAGTCGTATAGTAGTAATTTAAAGTAAGAATTCTTCTGTTTATTAAGAGTATCCACTAGTTAACCCTGAAATCAGAACTAGACTGTTAGAAAGCAAACCTGTAATAGAAACTAGTCATTTTCTATACTGATACGTATATACGCCTGTCACTGTACTAAAAATATCCAAGTTTCCTAAAATGATATTTTCTATACTTCTAAAAAAGCTGATATTTTTAATTCAGGGTTAACATTGCAGATCTGTTGAACACAAATTCTACGCAAGAAGTTCAAAATATTATCTAAATATCAAATTAACAGTAAAATATAGAATTAAAAATGTGAACATTTTTCATTTTTACCAGTCGTACCTAATTCATAAATGTACAACTCTGATAAAACAAATAAAATCAATAGCGCATCATATCACATAAAAAGATGCTTAAAATATTTAGTCCAATAATGTACTTTTGTAAAAAAAAAAGCTAAATTATGCGCGCGTGAGTGTAAGGAGTGTAAAAGAACCCTTGAACCCGTGAACCCGTGAAATAAAGATAAAAATCTGTGACTACGTAAAGTGCTAATTGATGTATCAGTATTAAATGCAATTAATCAGTAGGAACAAAATAAATAAAATACTTGTTTAGAAAGATACAAAACATTAGAAAGTAAACTTTTTTATGTTTCTCAAGTTAAATGTGCATTTTCAAATTTTTAAGAATCTTAATTTTCAGAGAAAGCTTACATAGTTTTGGGACTCAAGTTTGATAAAAATGCTTAAAACCAGTGCTTAGGATCCGGATCCGCAAAAATATGTGGATCCATGGATCCGGATCCAAGGGGTAAAAAATCAACCAAAAACTGAAAAAAACTTTTTTACTCCTGAAACCCAAATCTGAACTTTTGAAAAAAAAAAGAGATTATAAAAATTTCCTCATTTCTGAATGGTTCATCAAGTTTTAGGATAAAAACAAATAAAACAAAAAATTTGAAAATTATTTTTTGTTAAAAAAAATTCAGTAAATCTTAAAGAAATGACCTGGATCCAGATCCGGATACATTTTTTTTCAGTGCGGATCCGGACCGCATCCGCATCAAAATTAAATGGATCCTAAGCACTGTTTAAAACAATAGGAATTTATTTTGCCAATCACAATTCAAGATCTAATGCAACACTTGATAAATGTCCAGAAACATTTAAACAATGCATCAGGTTTAAACGTTCACGTGGAAATTGTAAGCATGCCAAAAGTTAGAATAATAATATGTAACAATTAGTAGTGCGTTTCGTTGCGTTAAAAAGCGTTTTGATGAAGTATATTGTGACAACATGTTCTGCTACGAGACCAATCTCATTTTAATTGAAAATTGTTTCAGTATTGCATCACGTGACATTTGTCCCAATGCTTCATAACGTGAGAAGTTTTTTAATAATTGCAGCGCTAATACAATTGTTTCATTGCTTTAAAAATAATTGTTTCATTATCACTCAGTGCCACGTGACAACCGTAGTAATGAATCACGTACATACTGTTCCAAAATAGCAACACATGACGATTGTTCCAATAATACATCACGTACATATTGTTCCAGTATTGATAAATACATGTTTTTTCTTATTGCATCACGAGATTACACGTCATAGTTGAGAATAGGTTCCACAGTGTATCTTTGTCCTGTTTCACAAGGGAAAACCCACATTACAGGGTGTCCTCGGCCAAACACTTCAGCTGTAATAGACAAATTATTAGTTTTTTTTCAGGGAATTTTATATTTTTTTTATTATTTCCTGAATTACAAGGGAAAGTTGATTCGAAGCTTTAGTGGAAATGAAATAAAAGATGGAACTTGTTGCTTATTTAAAAGTGGATTAGCAACCTGGGAAAAAATAAAAATAAATCGTTGAAGGATTTTTCCTTTTCACTGACAATTCATTATTTTACACTATAAAACTTTTTTGTCCGAAGGTAAAAGCTATTCAAGGAGGGGAAATACCACTAATTTATGATCAATTTAGAATGACAAAACCGTTTTGATTTTTTAGAAAGCATAAGCTTAGATAGATGATTATAGCCAGTTATTTTCAGTGGAATTTTTTATCCCCCCCTGACATTTTCTTCGGGGAATTTGGTCATTTTTATGTCAAACCCATGACAAGCTGGGGGTGGAAGGAGGAAAATGTGTTAGCAAATTTTGAATTCTCAAATATTTTTATAAAAATCTTAATTTTGACTTGAATGATAATTAGTGGCGCCGAAGGGGAAAAAATCTTAAATCTATTTTTGTAAATCAAAATTAACAGGCTAGCATGTGCCTGCTCTCCCTAATTTGTTCAGGGTAGGACGTCCCTTCGATTTTCCAGGATGGATGACGTCCCCCCAATTTTCATTTCAATTCCAATATATATATAATATATTATATAGTTAGTACCTAGTAAAGCTAGTTTAGGTTTCCTTGGTCTGAAGGAGCCCTGTTTCTTCACTTGTTCAACCATCGTCTCATCTAAACAAATATATTTTAAATAATGTTACAAAATATTTACAATAATATTTACTAAATCATATTTTTACATTACGTAGTACCAGAGTTTGGTGAGGAAATTGTCAACAAAAATTGCTCTTTATTTAACTTTTGCAAAAACAATAGAAATTAAAATATTTAATGACATTTTTTTAATCTTATTTATTTGATCAAGATGAGAAAGACTTCACTAAATAAACTTGATTCAGTGCAACAAAGGCTTTTAAGGTGCAAAAATTTAAATGCAAAACATCCCATAAATTCATTTTATTTGTCATCCATGTGAGATTTTATTGAGACAAGAACAATAATTTGGACCCAACAAAATTTGTTCTTAAAACTCTTACAAAATAATTAGCATAAATGTGTAGGTTAAAAATTACTTCCAGTGCATTGTGCATTGTGCAATACATAAAATACTCCCTCTTTTTAGAATCTTAATCCAATTTCCAGCCCTCCCCAGACGAAACATAAATCATGGATTGTATTTATGGCTACCGATAGGCATTGTTTTCAGGTTTGTTTTTAAACATTAAAGTCTTCCGACTTTTAAGAGGCTCCCTAAAACTCTGAGATGTTGTTCCTGTTTAAAGATGTTCATGCTTGATAAGTTTGCTTTTATCACGTTACGCAAGTTTTTTCTCTGACTAAAAATATTTAACAGTTATAAAAATTGTTTTTGTTCTTGGGAAGCGCTTTTACACCAAAATACCTTGAATACTTCAAAACAGACCTATTCATGGCAAGAAGCCCCTTTGAAGACTGGGAGATTACTAAAACGACGGGGATACCGATTTTCAAAGATTTGAGGAAACAAATATCAAAATGGATACATTTAATATAACAATTCAGTTTTCCTAATTCAGCCATAAATTCTCAAAAAGATGTTCTCAGTTTTGCACAAACATTCTTCACAAAGTATTGACCCCTAGGAAAAGCCTGTAACTTGAAATATAACAATTCCCCTGAGACAAAATATACATTAACAGTAACACTCATCAGTTTTATGCACATAACAGTTGACATTGACAAGACCTGAGAATATTCCCACAAACTGATCGCAGGCTATTGTGATGACAAATAAACCGAAGAGAAAGGATTCCATGCTCACTAGGATAGAGTGGAGAACTCGGGTCTCGTGGATCCTCTTATCCTGAAAACATAACTGAGTAAATGAGGATTTCAAACCTGAAAGGATTGCTTCGAACTGATCGCAACCGATGGCGATGACGAACATGCCGAAGAGAAAGGACTCCATTACGAGGAGGACGGAGTGAAGAATTCTAGTTTGTCTAATCATCAGCTCCTACAAGCAAAATCAACAAAAACTAAATTGCAAAAATATATAACTATTAGCTTACAATAAAAGTTATCAATGATCAAGAACTCTTCCATTTAGATTTGGACAGTGCTTAGGATCCGGATCCGCAACATTTTGGCTTCCTGGATCCAAATCCGCAAAAATATGCGCATCAATGGATCTATCAAAACTATAAAAAAACACCTTTTGCTCTCAAAACAAAAATCTAAACTATTAAAAAAGGGAGATAATTAAAAATATCCTTTTCTCTGAATAAATAAAAAATATTTGAAATTGAAATGGATCCTAAGCACTGGATTTGGACATTGATGCGAATCCTTAAATTCTAATCTAACTTTTCAATTCTCAGTTTTAAAATTACTTTTCAACTGACGAAATTCGTGAGAAAAAAAGTTTTTGATTTCATTGGTGTTTTTGGTACCTATTGATTGCCTCGATCTGAATACATACTAATATTTTTTCAATATCTGTTCTTTTTTCCACGTCTTATTGTCTTATCTTTTCTGGCTGCATTTTGACAATATATTTGGTTTCCGAATTAAAAAATGCAAAAATTAAATCAAATATGAAAAGTTGTAGAGGTAAATAAAAGTGGTGGGGTTTAGTACCTAAGCACAACCTTGGCATTTGGCAACCAGTATTCCAGGACCAGGGAACTAGATTAGACAGGGCCGGGGGGGGAGGTATAATACCTTAGCACAACCCTGGCAATCAGTATACCAGGACCAGGCAACTAGGCATACAGCATACATTGATAATAATCCAACATACCTGTATAAAGTTTTTAAACAATTAATTAATTAATTTCTCAATCAATCAATCAATCAATTATTTATTAATTATATAAAACTAAAGGAATTGAATAAATATTTTTGGTTTCTAATTTATAAAATTATCAAATAAATCTTACAAAAGGAATTGAATAAAATATTTCTGGTTTCCAATTTATAAAATTATCAAATAAATCTTACAGAAGGAATTGAATAAAATATTTCTGGTTTCGTTCTCCAACACAGTTGTTAATCCAAGGGCAGTGGTGATCCATCTTTCTGTACCACCAAACAAATCAATCAATAAGTTGTTCAAACAATCTAGCAATCGATCGATCAATAAACTGATCCATCAAAAAAATCAATTGATCAATCAATAAACCAACAAACAAATTGATTAACCAATCAGCCAATAAATAAGGTAATTAACTAATAAGTGAATAAATTAGGTTATTAATTATCTCTTCTTTGCTATTTTTATAATGAATTTATTATTTTCAAGTGTATTTGTGAAGGGCCCACCAAATAAAACAGTTAATATCAGCTAGATAGGTCTTGATTAAAGGATTGTATATGATTTTATAACATTTTTTAAAAATAAGTCAAAATATATATTTATGACAAATCAGCAAATAAATTCTATAACCAATCAGCCAATAAATAAGATGATCAATTAATCAACTAATAAATCTATCAACCACATTACCAACCAATAAATCAATCAACCACCTTACCAACCAATAAATCAATCAACCACCTTACCAACCAATAAATCAATCAACCACCTAACCATCCAATAAATAAATCAACCACCTTACCAACCAATAAACCAATCAACCACCTAACCAACAATCAAATCAATCAATAAATTGTTCAAACAATCTAGTAATTGATTGATCAATAAACTGATTATTCAATCAACCAATATATCTGTTGATTTATCAATCAGCTAATAAATTAGTAATCAATCAATCAAACAATATATCAGTTGGACAATCTACCAATCAATCAAACAATCGATCACTGAAATAAACAAAATATAAAATGAATCTTTTGATTGTATAGTTCAAACATTCTCTTTATTAAAGGGACTGTAATCTTAATTTTAAGTGAACCTCCATGTAATAAGGGGTATGCCAGATTAACAACGGCACCCTTGAAACTTTAATCTGATCAAAAAAGTGGAAAATATCATCGTTTTCCTAGCTTAAAAGTGTTGTATTCTGTTGATTTTTCCACTGTTTCTGAATAAAAAACAAGTAACTTTTTTTAGAAACCACGAATGAAAATAATTTGTTTTAAAGACAAAAACATGAATATATAATGCATACTTGATCAGACAAACCTTTTCAGGCTGCTGTTGTGACTTGTACATTCCATTCTATCAATGGAAGGTTCCTTGAAATAACGTTTACAGATCAATTACAGCCCTTTCAAGATGAATGATAAGTGTGAAAAAAGTAAAAATATGTGAATTGTACGACCTACGTTGTTTAATAAGTGCATGTATTGATTTTTCATTAACGCAAACTGCATATTGATTTTTAAAAAATAGAATACGAGAGCTGAGGATGGAGAAGGGGGAGATTCATAATCTCATGAAACTTTTTAAATATTTAATATTAATAAATAGGATTAGGATCTCACGAAATTCCTCTGAGTATTAAAGAATATTTGATATTCATGATAGATTGTAAATATGGCAGTTACGTCATATATATTAAGAAAAAACATGATCCTGATATTTTGGCCTTCAGTCTTGATTTCCACAGGGTGATGGTTGACTAGTTACTTTTTTATCTATTTCATGACAAGAATTCGAATTACAGAATTTAGGAAAACATGGCAGATTTCTCTTTCTGCGAAAAGTTTGTTCAAAAGAAAAAGAAGTTATATTAGAATCTTAGTACATACGTACATGGTTATCCACGGATGAGACTGTAAAGACGAACCTAAACCTATTCAATATGACGATCCCACAGTTAAATTTAGTCTTTTGCTTTGAATTTATTCTTTTCATGGATTTACAGAGGATTCGGCGAAGAAAGAAACAAGTTTAAAGTTTCACAGAGTTGTGAAATAAGTAAACAGACAATATCCGAACGATCGTCTCATCCTTTGTGGGTAACCCTGCAGTGAAAATAAATAATGCGAAAACTAGAATTTTTTAAGAGAGAGGTTTTATTGAAAAAAAGAGACAGTCTAAGAAAAGTAAATCGTGCATGGATTTCTTCTGCAAAGACTCGCAAGTAGCAAGAAAATAGTCAAGATTTGACAGCTGGAAAATAGTCAAGATTTGTCAGCTGGAAAATAGTCAAGATTTGTCAGCTGGAAAATAAAGATTTGTCAGCTGGAAAAACTATGATATCTACGCAATCATTGTTTAGTTACATATAAGTTCAAATAAACGTTGGCTAAAACTTACGTTAACAGTCCCTTTAAATTCATGTTTGTTGATTTTTTTGTTGTTTCCTTATGCAATGTTTACAGATTCTACAATGATGAGCTCGAGGAGGTCTGTACATCTCACATCTAGATAATACAAGATATGCAATGTTTACAGATTCTACAGTGATGAGCTCGAGGAGGTCTGTACATCTCACATCTAGATAATACAAGATATGCAATTTTTACAGATTCTACAGTGATGAGCTCGAGGAGGTCTGTACATCTCACATCTAGATAATACACGATATGCAATGTTTACAGATTCTAGAGTAATGAACTCGGGGAGGTCTGTACATCTCACATCTAGATAATACAAGATATACAATGTTTACAGATTCTAGAGTGATGAGCTCGAGGAGGTCTGTACATCTCACATCTAGATAATACAGATGTACAATGTTTACAGATTCTACAATGATGAGCTCGAGGAGGTCTGTACATCTCACATCTAGATAATACAAGATATACAGTGTTTACAGATTCTACAGTGATGAGCTGGAGGAGGTCTGTACATCTCACATCTGGATAATACGAGATATGCAATGTTTACAGATTCTACAATGGTGAGCTCGAGGAGGCCTATACATCTCAAATAATCTCCAAGTCTCATTTGGAAACTGCATTACAAGGTTTTCATTTTAAAAAGTATTAAAACTAAACTATTGGAAAGCTATCATGCTATTTTATACAACTATTTTATAAATTGCAGCGTACAGTATCTTCATTTCCATATTTTATCAATCTCTAATCATCCCTACTGAGCTGGAATTTTGATTAATATTTTCTAAAAATAAATAAAATTATTAATTTCTTGATAAGATTGAATAGAAAGATTCAATTTTATTTCTTAATCTTAAACATAATTAACTTTTTTTAATCCTTAAACATGGGAATATCCTTCAATTAGTTCTTGATCTCGATATCCATGGAAGGCACATTATAATTTGAGAATAAATTCTTGATCCCTTAATCATAAAAATTATCCCTGCAGGTTATGACCACCACAGGATATCGGTGATAAATTAAAATAATCCGTAAGTCTGCATAAGATTGCGATCAATGCTTGATCCGGAGTTTCGTAACACAAAAATTCTGACTTGAGAAAATATTAAATGAACACTCATTTTTTGTACATAAATGCTGTGCGTACATAACCATACCTTGTACATATAGTCCAGTCCTCTCTGGGTGCTATACTGCCCCCATCTGAATGACTATCTGAGAATTCTATTCTGTGTGTTGGAAGAGGAACAATACCTAGCTCAATCATGATAAATTATTATCTTGTTATAAATTGCGCCCCCCCCCCACACACACCCGTTCTATGTAAAGGAAATAAAGAAGAGATGAGAGAAAAGATGACTGTGAGAGTGGACTATTAGAAAACCAATTGATTGGAATTTAGAAAAGAAGAATTTAAAAATTTAAGAAGAAAATAAATATAAATTCAACGTCAATTTATCTCAGTTTAACTACAAATTAAAATTAATTTCTTCGACGAAAGAAAGACATGATAGATTCCTGGGTCTGAAAAAACAGCTCTTGCATGAGAAAGGAAGAGAAGAAGTATAATTGTGTTGAACAAGAATACATGAACACTTCCCCACAAAGATCCTGAAATAAACAAAAAAATTAAGTCATTTATGATTCTCTTCATCAACTGCACATGGAAAGAAATGCTAATTAAACAATTTATAAATATTAAAGAACTATCTGGTAAATCATCAGAAGAATATATATAAATGAACAACTACTTAAACAAAATTCGATTTAACTTTCCTGTTTCCACAATTTTGATCACCCCCCCCCCCCACACCTACCCAGTGGGGGGGAGGCCTGGGGGGATGAAAAGCGATATCTAAGAAATTACCACAGGGCTGAGCCGGTAAATATTATAAATCATCTTCATGTAAATCTCTAGTGCACTGACCTTGCATAGTCTGTAGGATAATCCAGCGTACAACAACATAATCTGCGTACAGTACTGCACCATATGTCATGAGGATGCAGAAAAATCCGCAAGGATCTTTCCGGAAAATAGCCATTTTTCCAAATCGATCACAAGTGTTAAATGTTATTTTTTTCTTTATCACTCAGCTACTGCATTCTCAGTAAACTGCACAGTCGATAATATGACATTTTGAAAGTATTCAAACTTTAAAAATTTCACAAAATTGACTTCCCACTGGATTAGCCTTCAAAAATGTACTGTGTAACTGTAAACAAGTACGAGGATTTTAAGAGGCTGTGCAGTCTGCACTGTCAGGAAATCAGCTGTTAGTCTGTATTTCCGACCGAACAACCCTCTACCTCGGCGTTGTTTCACAGCGGACCGAGGTTGCGTGATTAAGGATTGAAGGAGACAGTCTATACAATACTATTCCTACTCAGCGATAACCAGAAAACAGTGGTCTTGGTAGACGACATGATAGCAATACTTAAGTGTATTCTATGTTTTTTCAAAGAACATAGTTTTAATTACTTTATACTTAAATCTTTAATGTAATTAAATGGGTCTGTTTACATGCACAATTGCTGTTACTCATGCTCACTTGGCATTTTAACTATCACTAACCTGGACCCTACTCACTATCTTTAACCTATACTCATCTCTATCCTGAACCCTATTCATCTCTCCTGAACCCTACCCATTCTAACCTAAAACCCTACTCATCTATCCTGAACCCTACTCATCTCTATCCTGAACCCTTCGCATCTCTAACCTGAACCCAACTTATTACTATACTGAACCCTACTCATCTCTAAGCTGAACCCTATTCATCTCTATATACTGAACCCTACTTATCTCTATCCTGAACCCTATTTATCTCTAAACTGAACCCTACTCATCTCTATCCTGAACCCTACTCATCTTTATCCGGAACCCTAATCATCTCTATCCTGAACCCAACTCATCACTTTTCTGAACCGTGCTCATCTCTAAGCTGAACTCTGTGTACCTCTATCCTGAATCCTACTCATTTCTATCCTGACCCCTGTTTATCTCTAACCTGAACCCAACTTATCTCTATCCTGAACTCTTCTCATCTCTATTCTGAACCATACTCATCTCTATCCTAAACCCTAATCATCTTTATCCTGAAACCTACTTATCTCTATCCTGAACCCTACTTATCTCTATCCTAAACCCTCCTCATTTCTATCCTGAAACCTTATACCTTAAACTTATAACTGATCTCTTTCCTGAAACCTACTCATCTATATCCGGAACCCTTCTAATCTCTATACTAAACCCTACTAATCTCTATCCTGAACTCTACTCATCTCTATTCTGAACCCTACTCTTCTCTATCCTGAACCCTTCTCATCTCTATCCTGAACCCTACAAATCTCTAGCCTGAACCCTACTCCGCTCTATCCTGAACCCTACTCATCTCTATCCTGAACCCTACTCATCTCTTACCTGAACCCTACTTATCTCTAACTTGAAACCTACTCATCTCTATCCTGAACCCTACTCATCTATAATGAACTCTACTCATCTCCATCCTGAACCTTGCTCATCTCTAACTTGAACCCTACATCTCTAGCTTGAAACCTACTCATTTCAATCCTGAACCCTACTCATCTCTTTCCTGAACCCTACTCATCTCTTTCCTGAACCCTGCTCATCTCTATCCTGAACCCTGCTCATCTATTTCGTGAACTCTACTCATCTCCATCCTGAACCCTGCTCATTTATAACTTGAACCCTACTTATTTCTAACTTGAAACCTACTCATCTCTGTCCTGAACCCTGCTCATCACTATCCTGAACCCTGCTCATCTCCATCCTGAACCGGGCTCATCTCTATCATGAACCCTATTCATCTCTAACTTGCACCCTACTTATCTCTAACTTGAAACCTAATCATCCCTATCCTGAACCCTGCTTATCTCTATCCTGAACTCTACTCATCTCTATACTGAACCCTGCTCATCTCTATCCTGAACCCTAATCATTTATTCAAGAAACTCTACTCATCTCCATCCTGAACCATTCTCATCTCTAACTTGAGCCCTACTTATCTCTAACTTGAAACCTACTCATCTCTATCCTGAACCCTGCTCATCTCCATCCTGAACCCTGGTAATCTCCATGCTGAACCCTGCTCATCTCTATCCTGAACCTTGCTCATTTCCATCCTGAACCCTACTCAACTCTTTCCTGAACCCCACTCATCTATATCCTAAACCATAGAGTAATAAAACAAAGAAGTGAAGCTTAGCTCAGATTTACACAACCGACCTGTCTATTAATTAATTAATAGATTGGTCGGTTGTGTACATCACGATATGATTACGTATCTAACGTTGTACAGTGTACACTTGTATATGTGATCGTATTTCTAAGGAGTGGTTTAATGTAGATATTTGAATATTAGTAATGATAATTAGATAGACACTTAATATGGATTGTAAACACAGGATTGCATACTGCAGTACATTCAAGTTCAGATGTTTGTTTATTTCAATACAAGCATGTCTAAATATTGCATCGTGAAAAACTGCCAAAACATTTCTTCTTGTAAAAATGTGAGTTTTTTTCAAAATATCAAAAAATTGTGCATGGCTAGACCTTTTAAGGTTGGGAGACTCCAGAGTATATCCCAGAAGTTGCATTTGCTCAAACCATTTTAAAGAAGGAGATGTAATTCACGGAAAAAGACCAAGTTTGAAGAAAAATTCAACACCATTGCTCTCAACTTTAGGTGCGAATAAAAATGAATTTACAGTATTGTTTAATGTATAATTTTGATAATTTTATTTAAAATTTTATAAAAATTTATTTACAGTAATGTTCAAGGGCTTTTCAAAACTATAGTTTTCAGATCTGAAGCTTTAGTCATATAAAAGTTATGGGCTATTTAAAAATTTTTTACATACTCTGGTTTTTTATTGCCCTGCACGTACACCCTACCTTAAAGGCATAAAAAAATGACCAAAAAATTCTTTAATTTTCTATTTATGAAAAGTAAAAAAAAATGCCCGCCCCAGCCTGTTTAGGGTGAGGAGCTCCAGGTCGTCATCGTTGTTTCATCTTTGTGGGTAACCCTGCATACACTACAGGGTGTCCCAAAAAACATGGGAATTTAGTGACGATTTCGATATCGTCTTTGTTATGAATTAGCATTGTAATACCTGATTTCAAAAGCCATAATATTATTATGTCTGCTAGAGTTTATTTTATGAAAAAGGTAAAAGACTGTGAATATGTGTCTATAATGTCTCCGCAGGATGACCAGTGAAGAAGGACAAGTTTACTCTGTTTGTATTCTGCAATTTTCTTGTTTTACTAAGTACAACCGTACATGCAGTCAAAACATAAACAAACAAAATGTGAACATAGCAGACGAAACTCTTACTGATTACAGCTTTCTCAGTAGGTATCACTATACTAAATCAATGAATTATTTAAAAAGACGATATCGAATTCGTCACTGAATTCGCATGTTTTTTGGGACACCCTGTATCATGTTTATGATAAAGAGTTGAAGAGAAGAAACAATAAAAAATGTTTGAAATAAGAATGTTTTCAGTTAAATTCATGCCCTAGAAACTTAATATTTTTGACAGAACTTTTAGCTAACAAATTGAAAACCTACAAATTTGAAAATTGTCAACTGTTTGCAGTCAGCATCCTCGAATTCTCTTTAAATAAAGAAAGAAAATCTAAAAATTGGTCAATTCCATAGAATCCCCCTTTATAAATACGATCACTCTATATACAAGTGTACAGCGTTAGATACGTAAACATATCGTGATGTACACAACCGACCAATCAATTAATTAATTAATAGACAGGTCGGTTGTGTACATCTGAGCTAAGCTTCACCTCTTCGTTTTAGTACTCTATGTCCTAAACTCTATTCATCTCCATCCTGAACCCTGATCATCTCTATCCTGAACCCTACTCATCTCTATCCTGAACCCTACTCATCTCTAGCCTGAACCCTACTTATCTCCATCCTGAACCCTTCTCATCTCTAACTTGAAACCTACTCATCTTTATCCTGAACTCTACTCATCTCTATCCTGAGCCCTACTAATCTCTATTCTGAACTCTACTCATCTCTATCCTGAACCCTTCTCATCTCAATCCTAAACCCTACTCATCTCTAACCTGAACCCTACTTATCTCTATTTTGAACCCAACTCATCTCAATCCTAAACCTTACTCATCTCTAACCTGAACCCTTCTAATCTCTATCCTGAACTCTACTCATCTCTATCCTAAACCGTACTCATCTCTGACCTGAACCCTACTTATCTCTATTTTGAACCCAACTCATCTCCATCCTAAACCCTCCTCATCTCTATTCTGAACCCAAATCATCACTATCCTGAACCCTACTCATCCCTATCCTAAACCCTATTCATCTCTGACCTGAACCCTACTTATCTCCATCCTGAACTCTCCTCATTTCTATCCTAAACCCTACTTATCTCTATCCTAAACCCTACACATCTCTATCCTGAACCCTATTCATTTCTATTCTAAACCCTACTCATCTCTAACCTGAACCTACTTATCTCTATCCTTAACCCTACTTATCTCTATCCTAAACGCAACTCATCTCTATCCTAAAGCCAACCCACCTCTATCCTGAACCCTTCTCCAGATAAATATTACTTTAAAACTTTTATATTGTTTAATTTGAAAAAATTAACTAAAATTAGAAATGGGTACAGTCGGGTACAGCTTACTTAAAAATATACCAAGCGTGTATCTCTAAGATTTTAAGTTAGTTGGGGGATGGGGCAATTACAAGAGGATATGAGAAGGTGCCCACTGCCCAGATTGGGCCTTTTCGTTAACTTTATGCATTTTTCTGAATTCCCCATGGGGGGGGGTAGGGAGACGAGGACGACTGCCCCTCCCCACTGAATACACTACTAAAACCAAGGATGTAATGCAAGGAAAGTTATTTCAGAAGTGTATACGCATCTTTTGTACTGCAGTGTACTATCTCTGGGCGGTACTGTAAACACAAGACGGATGTCTAAAGCTTGACATGGGATCCATCTTTCACATAAAAAAAAAATCAATGAAATATTCTGGTCATAGGAAACTATTATGTGAATTATCAAAATTATCAAAATTTAATGCTTTTAATCTCCTCGGATACTAAACGAACACTGATGCATCTATTCTTGTTTACAAATTCCGCCCAAAGAGAACTGGTTACAATGTGTACGCAGAGTATACACGACCGCAATTAACTTGCCTTGAATTACACCCTTGACTAATACCATTTCTACATCGCGCAAAATATACTTGC